TGATGTTATTAGATTGCTCATTCATTATTGGTTGGTGGCTCATTGTCAACTACATTTTTCGTATTTATGGTGGCTGATCTTCCTCCTGTATTTCGAAATTTGTTAGAATTCCTCTTTACTATCCCTTCTCAACCCTTATTCGTGGTTGCTGGGTTCCACACTGTGTTGTGCCTTGCCATGACAACTTGGCGCCCACTTGAGAGGGTACAATCACCATTCTCAGCGTCTCTTCGTGCTCATTCATAGTTTTTGATTATGATAAACTCTTATTTTAATAGCTTCAGATTTTAAGATCTTCTTAGCTTCCCCTTTTCCTTAAAAAGTTACAGAAATACCTTTCAAATGGTATACTTGTCCTCTATTGTAATGATTTGATTATTTTCCTCTGGTACTGTTTTCTTATGCTAGTTCTAGTTGCACTTCATTTTAGCAGGTTATCTCATGAAAACACTTTAATACACTCTAATACCTTCTGATTAATCGTAGTTCGTGGTTTGCTTCTCTTCTTTTCTTTCTTTTTTTTTTCCAAATAATGGAATTGATTTCTACTATCGGCTCCTACAAAGAGAATACAATCTTCTATGTCATATGTCATATTTCAGACAGTTTTTCCAACAATTTACATAGAGCCTAATCATTTCTGTCAAGGGTTGCGGAATCGGTAGCAGAGATCCTAAAGGGTCTTCGTTGCTATTTTGATAAAGCATTGATGGCAATGCTTTTGTATAAGAAGGAACGTCAACAATATCACGAGGCAGTTGGAGATAAGGTTTCCCCTTCGACAATTTATGGTGCTGAACATCTTCTGCGCCTTTTTGGTATTGTATATTTTCTTTTCTTTGTCCTTTTTCTAGATTGAAAATTCTCTGTTATGCTTTCATATATTGATTTTTTTAAGATCTATTTTACAATTTTGCATATTTTTATCTTAGATGCTGTCAATTTGATTGGTTGTCAGTGCATCCCTTATTTCTGGTTTATAATATATCACATCCATTGTCTTCTTAAGCATGTCAGGATGCAAGATGCAGCCACATCATTTTATGAGTGAATTCCCTTATATGTCAATGATACCCATTATTCTCTCTCACACATACATATAGATATAGGAAAAGAGGTTATGAAGCAGCAACCCTCCCTCATTCAATGCTACACACAGACACGTACACACACATGCACAGATTACATATATGCATATATACATACATACAGAAATATGACACACACATGTATGTATGCATGTGTGCAACTGTCTGTGCATATATACACATATACGTGTGTTTATACATAAATTTACATACGTATGTACGTACCTGTATGTACTATGTAGGTGTATTATGTATGTATTTTAAACAATATCCCTTGTCCTTCATTTTGATGCGGTAGATTGATGTGTTTAATTTCTTTATGGTAGCTTCAGGTTATGAAGGAATATGAGAATCCTTGGTACCAATGACCAAATTTGGTCCTTGGCAGTGAGGTTATCACTTCTTGACCACTCATCTAATGGGTGAATAATTTAAGTGGGTATCATTTTTAACTGTTCACCTTTAAATGTGTGGATGAGAAGTGGTCATCTCACTGCCAATGACCAATTTCATCCTCGGTGACAAGGCTACTCATTTTTCTCATACACGTGTTCATACACACATAAACATCTATATCTATGTATGTAGGTATGTGTGTATACTATGCTGCCGTCCTTCTTTTTTTCTTTTTTCTTTTTTAGCTTAAGGTTTTGAAACAACAGTGCGCAGAGTAACCATCTGATGATGCTGATAAAACACCAGCACCACCTTCATCAAAACCAGAATAAAATCCAGAAATAGAAGAGCAAAATGTGTACAATGAACTTTCCGGTTAACCACTGTTATTAGGATAAAAACCAAACTCAACAACAAAATGCCGGGAAAAAAAGAAAAAAGATGTACCACTTGAATTGTTTAGTCGCAATTGCTGTCAACCTCTCAGAGTGATTGGAAGTTGAGTTTCTAACTTGAGTCTACTGATGGTTTGTCTAAGGTTGACAATGGACTGTCATCATCATGATCGCCTAAGGAATGACTAACATACACTCATAACTATCTCCTTTTCTGTGTACTAGGTTATGTATCTAAGGTATGGCTATCATAGCTATCTTGTTGTGTGGTGGGGGAGGTAGGTAGAAAAAGTGTGTTGGGCAGACATTGATAACTGTTGGACCATGGACTTCATGAACTCAAGCTGCTGCTGCTCTCCCTGAGTCATCTAGCACCCAGCACTACATCATTTTGACACGCTCATCCTCCGCATCTAGGATGAGAGGTCTATCTCCTGAGTCATCTAGCCAGAGTGGTAGCACCAGCACTGTGGTGCCCGATACTGAGATTTGGTGTCAACATTCTCCAGGGTGTAAAGAGGCATATTGTTCAGAAGAAGTAGCCAGCTGGAGGAATCACAGCATTTAAATAGGCATATTCTTCTAGTAAATTTTGTGTGGATGTCACAGAATGGCATGTGGAATTAACTAAATTGTGTCAGAAGATGTGGATGTGAAAGCAGTAGAAGCTTGAGGTCGGCAAGTTGAAAGGAGTAAATTGGTGCTAGTAACTTAAACTGACCTCCAAACTTAAGGGTACTGTTGTTTCTTTGAAATTTTATTCTCATGGTTTAGCATTTAAATCTTAATTGCATTAGTATTAGATAGTGTGAATATTTCAGGTGGATTGTAGTGAAATTGTGATGGACATAACATGGGAAACAAATATGATAGACGTGTCCAAACATGATGAGGTGGTGTCTACATTCGGCAAAAGATGTCCTGCATATGTCAAGTTTAGGCAATAAGAGCTCTAGCATAAGACTGATTATAGTACAGAATCAAAAGTCCCAGCATCATTCAATTTTAGTGACTTTCTTGAACAGGTTATGTTATTTTGTCTGATTATGGAATGATATGTAATAACGCCTTATTGAGATTATTGTCATAATGAAGGGTGTTCCATGAGAAAGGAGACAGATGGCTATGATTAAGTATTCGGCCTGGAGTAAATGCTGTGGGGGTGGTTGTTACCCACCAAGTCGCTATAATATATTTGGGAGACTATAGCCTCCTCTGCAGAAAATGGTAAAGTGAGACGTACGTAGTAGGTCAGCTAAGTTATTTTAAAAACGAAACATCCTGAATTCCTAGTTCTTGGATCTGAAAATTAATAAAATGTTCCTTCAACATAATTGCCTAAATGAAACAAGGGAATTTTCTCTCTTTTTGACTCTAGGAAATGTGTTTTTGCAACATTTTGCATCTTCAGTTGACAGTTGCCAAGGGAGCCAAATTAGCAGAGTTAGGCTGTTCATGTTCTTATTTTTACCTTAAATTTTTGTTCACGCACGGATCATTTTGGTTATCAAAATAGCCTTAGCAAGATTTCAACAAGCGTGAAGATTTTTCATGCCAGTTTACAATCCTTGAGAACTAATAGCTATTCAAAATATATATATGGAAACAATATAGGTTGAGTTACATAGTAAATCTTATTTACATACATATTTTTCAATTGTTAAATTTTTGTTATGATCTGCACAGTAACAATATCCTCTTTAGGCTCAAGCATAGATTTTTTTTATTTTATTCATGGGTTTGTGCTTTTATACTTCCAGTTTGACATGCTAAATAATTTTAATTGAAATATTAAACATGACGAATTTTGTTGTTTTTGTTTGAAGACCAACTATTAATATATTTGTAAACAATTGAAATTCAGTAATTTGTGTCTAACCTAATGAAGTTTGATATATGTTAAGTTGTAAATGAAATTCAGGCCTACACTTCTTGCCATCTGAGGTATTGGCTTCCCATAAGTGCAGAACTAGTTCTTTAGAAACCAGTTGTACTGTATATAGCTACCTAACATGTAACTTAATGACGTCAATAATTCCTTGTGTATCAGTTATACAGTAATTAGCTTCCAAATGTGTAATTTAATGAAGTAAGAGAAATCTACACAGATAAAAATCTATGAAAAGTCTTAGTTGGATGACATCAAAAAGAGTTGTCACTTTTGGTCAAAATGGGACACGGAATAGTTAATAGGTATCATATACATTTGCAAAGTTTAAACTCACAACTATATCCTGATAATCATGGTATTTTATGATCTATTCAGCTCCTGATTATATGGTATTTCTGGTTACATAGATTATCATAGTATTTCACATACTTGCATTCTCATATTGAGTTATCCAACAATATGAATCCTGATTATAATAGTATTTCTAGTTACAACAGTTATCATAGTATTTCACGTACTTGCATTCTCATATTGAGTTATTGAATGATATGAATCCGGTATCCTTGGTAATGTTGCACAGCATAGACATGTTTTTTTTTCCACATATTATTTTTCTGAAATTTGGAGTTTATGATTGTCATTTATCGTGCATGAGCAACCATGGTATTGTTGTATTCCGAATTATTTTTTCCCTTTACTTTTGTTTTCGGTTTTATGCAACTGTGTAAATTTTTTTACAGTTAAGTTGCCAGAACTGCTAGCCTATGTCAACATGGAAGAGGAGGCGTTGGCCAAATTACAGCAGAAGCTATCAGATTTCCTGAAGTATGTCTTTCCTTACTACTACACTCAAACCTCTCCTGTCGTCTCATTTCGTATGCTTGCATATTTTTCATCATCTTATCTCATGTAGACTAATGGATCCTCTTTACATCTTAAAGCTTACTCATTAGTAAGCATTATTGTAGTGACTCACTGGGAGTCTTTCAATGAAATATATTTCTTCTAGGAAAACTGATAGACAAATAAGTTTTGTCCATCAAATGGTTCCTTTTGCTGCTGTTAGATATGTTGAAGGCAACTTTGTGCGGTAATTTGTTTAAACCATTTATGCTTCGATGTCCAGGTTTCTGCAAAAAAATCAGAGCACGTTCTTTCTTTCTACATACGATGGAGCCAATAGCATGGATGAGGCAGACGATTAATTGAAGGATTTGAGCCTTATGTCTAGTTGGGGTAGAGTTCTTGCCCTCCTGTGTTGTTGTAAGTTTGATTTTTCTGATGAATGGGATTAATATTTGATCTTTTGCAATGATACAGTAACTTTGGCATTATTATTGACCTAATATCTTTACCGTTTTCTTGTGAACTCTTCATGGGAGTTGTGATGTTGTGTCACATTGTATCATTTGCATGCACACCCCCATATTATTGTTATGAATGTCGTCTCTTTTTATTTGGTGGGTGGAGTACTGTGTTTGCCTGCGTCGTGAAATGACTTGCAAAATCACTGGTTATTCATGGATTAAATAGATAATTAAGAGGCCGATAGCTACAGTTGACTTGCTCTTCTCTTGGGTTTCTGTCATGGCCTAATAGATAAGACCGACAAAAAAAAAGTGCAAATCTTTTCGTTCCAGTTGAGTCTTTGTATGTTGCAATTAATACCCATCATTTGATTCCAATTGAGCCTCCTTGATTGGCTATTGTTTCCCTTTCAAGTTAAAAAGGAAGTAGATTTCCAGCTGTTTGTAGTTTCTTATAACCACTGAAAGGACTCTTCATGCATAGATTCTTTTCCTCTGTAACTATCATGTGTGCGAAAACGTTTGTACAGTACCAAAACAGATTTGACATCTGCGAATAATTTTACGAACCACAACAGGCACAAGCAAATATGCAGGCCCAGCTTGAAAAGTAGTGAAAAATTGAGTCCAAAAATGTGTTTTCTATGTAATTAAAGTAAGTAAATAAAGTTATTTCGTGGCTAGGGGCTGTTTGTTTCCTTTGTATTTTGCAATCCCTGCATTAAAAGGGTAGCCACAATTAAAAAAATTATGTATTTTAAGCAAATATATTATTTATTTGTTATTTTTTTTTATTTACAGATTTGAGGTTAACTTATATAGAATAAATGCATTAAATATAATTTTCTAAAAACATGTTGATTTGTGAATTTAGTTATATATCCTTAATAAATTTCATGTACGACCAAGCAAATTTTAATTGAATTTTATTGCTCACATAAATTCTCTTTGAGTTGTCAAAACTTCGATTATTTATCAACAAACTAAACGGTCCCTAATATTCTATACATAAGCAGAATATGAACACGGGACTTGTAAACTATCAAAGCACTCATATTGATATGGGAGGAGAGAGAGAGAGAGAAAAAACAAAGGAGAAGGGAATTGTGTGTGTACCTAACAAATGAGGCGCTCCATAAAAAGCGAAGAAGAAGTGTGAACGGGACAAAACGAGGGGAGGGGCAAAGGAAAGGTGAGGCGGCTAAGGGGGCTATAACCCATAACCCTAACCCAACTGGCGTGCATCAAAACTGCAACACAACTGTTTTTTAACTTATTCATCACCCATACATCGCACCCAATCACAACAAAAGTGGTCATGTCCCCATCAATCAATCAATCAATCCCTTCGTCTCTCTCTCCCCCCCCCCGCCCCGCCTCTCTCTCCCTCCCCCCGCCCTGCCCTCTTTATTCCAAGACTAAACTGGTAACCAATCCCTATCCCTATATATATATATCACCGTTACTTAGGTAGGTTAATAATACCCCTTCCCCAAAAAAAATAAAAAAAAAATAAAAGGAAAGGATGTACAAGGAAAAGAACAAATTTTTGATTTAAACCCATTTTAACTTTTTATTTTACAAACCGACCAACTTTTTTTTTATTTAGCGGAATCGACCCACTTCTCGGCCACGTCAGCAGCGTGGCCGAGAAGCGGGTCGATTTTTTTTTAATCTCATCACTAAATAGTCGGGGTTGGCAACCCCGACTATTTTTTCAGTAGAAAAAATAGTCGGGGTTGGCAACCCCGACTATTTAGTGATGAGATTAAAAAAAAATCGACCCGCTTCTCGGCCACGCTGCTGACGTGGCCGAGAAGTGGGTCGATTCCGCTAAATAAAAAGAGGGTCGGTCGATTCCGGTAAAAAAAAATGGGAATGGGTTTAAAACAAAATTTTGTTCACAAGGAAAACCCTAAAACTCATGAAAAATCATAGGAAAACACTTGAGACACGCCTTGGGACACACCTCCCTCTTTTAGCTGCAGTGCAGGGGGGCCTATTTTAGATTTTTAAATAAATTCCAAATGGGGCTCCTGCACTGTAGCTATGAGAGGGTTGTCCCAAAGTGTGGCACAAGGTGCGCCTCTAGTGCCACCCAAAATCATACAAGAACGATATTAATAACTACGGGTAACCAGCACAGATTTTAAAATACTTCTATTTTGTGAATCCTGTCGCAACTGTACAATTATTACCCTCAGGCTATATAAGGATAAGGACTGATTATTAAATCGTCATTAAAAAAAAGATATAACAGTGAGATAGATTGTTATGCATCTAATTCTAGGGACAGTGATCGTCAACGATTCTCCAGTTTTATATTTCACCCGTCTCCTCTTCGGTCGTTTTCTTTATAGCTATGAACCACTAGATGTTGATCGTATTAACAACTCAGGGTTGCTAGCTAGAATAATAATAATAAGTGAATAGACGCATCTTAGACAAAATCTTGGATATATCTCAGAAATATTTTCATGTGAAAAATAATAATAATATTTGGGACAAATTTTTAAAACCATCCACTTTTAAAATTTATTTATAAAAAACGATTCATTTCAACCTTAATTTCAAAAACCGACCCAGTTGGTTGAAACTGGATCGGTTTTTGAAAAAAAAAAATTCAAACTTCACGGGAGTTAAACTCTCGTGAAGTTTTGTTATGAGAAAAAACTTCACGGGAGTTCAATGAACTCCCGTGAAGTTTAAATTTTTTTTTTCAAAAACAGACCCAGTTTCATCCAACTAGATTTGTTTTTAAAATTAAGGTTGAAAGGGGTGTTTTTTTGGGAATAAATTTCAAAACCGGATGGTTTTGAAAATTTGTCCATAATATTTGTTTCGCTCGACAAATTAAGATGAGGGCAATTTTTGATCCAACAAAGGTTATTCGCTTTTAGGTTTAAATCTGTATCATATTCTGAGAACCTTTGGGACTTTTTTTTCCCAACAAATTACTTTTTTTTATCCATCAGATTGAAAAAGTAATTATATTGTATATGAATCCTTTTTATTCTCCTTCGGAAAATCATTAGTAATTTCATAACCGTTGCATTTTTATCCGGAACTGGATATCATACCTAATCCTGTACCCAGCAACACAAAAAAGGTAATCCACACGCAAAACAGTGAAACACACAACACGATTTTAGAAACTCAGCGTTATATTCCACATAGATAAATATCGTTAATAATTAATTTAACAAAATGTGGGGTTGAAAAATAGAGGTTTCAAATTTTTTTTTTTTTTTTAAAACAGTTGCGCCGTGCGGTCGTGACTCGTAACCCTCCGACAAACTTCAACCGCAATAAAATGGATTTTATCAATTAGCTGTGAATTATAAACCATAACGAAGCCTCGATAATGTTTTAAAATTTTAGTGCTTTCACCCGTACCAACGGAAAAAAAACTCGGCTTTCTTCTCATCATCGCATATATCTCAACATTTTCTCATTTCCCCCCCTCCGAAATACTCCATTTTCTGTACAAAAAGAACTTATTTGCACTAAAAACTTTTGGGAGGAAAAAAAAACTAAGGAGAGATTCGGGGGGCGGAGAACAAACAGAGGGATAAAAACTAATTAACATCTAAAGAAGAAGAAGACTCCTCTTCCTTCTTCATCTTAAAGAAGCTCGACACCCTAATTTTTTTTTTTTTAATCTCACTTCCTCTTAAAAACCCTAATTCCTCTGCTCGATCTTCGCGATCCCGATCCTCTTCAGCGCGGCGTTCCTCACGCTCTCCGGCACCGAATTCACACCCATACACACCATCCCCCCGCTCTGCTCCATGTAATTCCTCACCTCCTTCCTTATCATCTCCTGCATCACCGCCAAGAACTCCGCGCTGAAGGGGAAGCTCTGCGGAGTCGCCGACGAGACAGCGTCGGCGGCGACGGACGGACGAGGCGAACCATCACCACGTCGTTATCCGGCGCCGCTGTCCCGGCGGCGCCGACTCGACCTGATCCGTCGCCGGGAAGCGAACACGCTCAGGGAGTGACCGGAATCCTCGGCGCTTACGCTCTCGCGTGACGCGGAACCTCGATCGGCCCGGTCCGCGCGACCGGCGATAGATCTGTACGGGGGTGGCCTATGGTGGCTCGAGTGCGCTGACGGTTGCCGACCCGGTACGGGCTCCCGGGGCTCAACTCGATCAGCCGGCCCGCGCTGTTCGCGCCTCTTGACGGCCTGCGGTATCTTCGACTCGCAGTTCCAGGCCCTCCGGCCGAAGGCGGCCGGGTCACGTACTTCGCATCTTCATGTGGGAGTTCCAGTGGTTTTTTCGTTGTCGCGTTCCGGCCCGTCAGCATGCGGGCTATGGTAGCCGCACTTGTTGCCGAAGCGGCGGTGGGCCCGGATGTTGGTCTCGTCCTCCTCGGGGTGAACGGGGGGTTGCTGCGACCTGCGGGCTGAGTTGTTGCCGCACCTGAGCGGCAGGACTGCCGGAGCCGCCCGTGGATGGACTTGCTGATCAGAGTATATCGCAGTTCCGCGGCCCGTGCTTGGTCACTTAGATTTTGGGAGCTTCGTCTCTTCGGGGCTCCACGGGCCTTGATGCGGTCCATGTCTTTGTAGTGATTTACTTCTTGCTTTTCGTCCTACATGCCTAGCCCCAGGCTCCCGTTCGCGAGCTCATCCTGGGGCGTCGAGTTCGAGTCGGGGCGGGGGGTTGGGAGGGTAGGGGACGAAGGGGGAACGGGGGAGGCGATGGGGAGTTTATTAGGGGCTGGTCGTGCCGGTGTAGGTGTGAAGGTGTGCCGCGTGATGGGTGGGCGTTTTGGGGGGGTTAAGGCAGCGCGTTGCTTGCCATACAGCTGGCGACGGGACACGCGTCGTTTTGGCGCTGAGAATTCAGTTTCCTTTTGTTGAGGGACGCTTTAATTACGGTATTCGCCCTTCGGATACGTCTCTCGTACGGAGGAGTATCTCCGGGCTTCATGGTCGTCTCGGGTTTTAATCAAAAACACAGTTCAAGATGTTTTGAGTTTTTAGGGGTAAACAAATATGCTTTTTTTTTTTTTCTAAATGTTAAGTATTTTTATTTCTTTAAACAATGGAAGCGATGAAGAAGAAAGATAATGGCCATTTTATAAAGACTGCAAACTATGTCTAAGATTATCGTAACTAACTTTATAAAGGTTGGAC